GAAACAATGTATATAATGTGTGTGTGTGTGTGTACACACACACACACACACACACTAATAATAAAAATCAATAACACCTACTTCAAGGAGAGCAGAATTTATTGAAATGCTCTAGATAACTATAGCAACAGTAATAGTAAATTTAATCAACTTATATTTTGACCAACTTTTGTTTTATGGATACACCACTCATCAGGGTTATAAAATATACCTTTTATTTATATATAAATAAATAAATCAACTAGAGACCCTTAGATTGATTTAAATAATATGTGCTAACTATATACCAACTATTCCACCCACTTACTTTACCACTTCATAATTTTATACCTTATCCTGTTTCTAATAAATTTCATCTCTCTTTGGCTTGCTTTCAAATCCTATGACTACTATCATTATAGAATAACAAAGTAAAGGAGATGATACTTGTTTGTGATTGACAAAATACTTTTACCTGCCTCTAAATATCAACACGGTTCAGTTAACTTATCAACAATGTGATACACAGAAGTAGAGTTAAGATCTAAATAATTTTTCTCATGATGATTGACATGCTATTGATTATTATAATGGAATAAAGCCTTATTCAGTGGGCTAATATCTTTTTGTCATACTTCATTATCCAGTGCCCTGTGTTAAGTATCATTTTTTATTATTATATGATAATGTTGAACTCGGAATATGGGGTGGGGAATTGTTATACAATTTAAAAAATTTTAACTATCATATCCACCCTTTGAATTCAGTGTAGAAATTTTATATTTACATTGTTTCAATCTTCAAGTGATGTAAATTAGTTGCCTGTCATTTGGTCTCATGCTGATAGATTTAAGAATATTGAGAACTTAAAATGTTTGTAACAACTTATTGTTTCATCTCCAATACATTAGAATTGCCTAATTTGAATAATTTAAATCTTCTGTTCATTTCCTCTGAAAATATTGGAGATGAGAAAAAATATTTTGATTATTAATAATTTTTTTTTTCGTAGTTGCCAACATCCTGCTATAAAAATAAAATATTCTTTCTAAATATGTTATGGAAAAAATAATACTAAACTGTGTCCCTGTCAATATTTTCATATAAACTTTGCTTTACATATCTTTTGGGTTTCATATCAAAATCTATTATGTTAAAAATCCACCATGAAGAAAATTAAATTATTCTATAGTTGATGAGTCATGCTGAAAAATAGTCAAGAAGCAGGATACTTCTTTTGTAAATTGTAATATGTCATTTGATCAAATTGATTTTAAAACATATTTTAATTGCTTTCTTTGTTTCAAAATACTGCAGTTACTTGCAATGATGAATTATGAACATGGAAATTTGTTTGCAATACTTAGAGGAAAGAAAGTTTTGTACAAAAGTATAAGACATTGAATCTTTCTTAGCTTTTGCTCCATCTTCATATTTGAGATTAACAAAATTAATCTACTGAGAGAGAGCGGAGTAAATAAAACACTTTTTAAAATAACATGGATGTTTAGCTATATTTGTTTTTTGTCTTTGATTTCATTAGAATTCCACTTGATATTTAAAAATTTTAAGGGGTTGGGGATTTGGACAAGGTCTTTGATCATATGGCCATATTTTATTATTTTTTATTTTTTTTGCATACACCCACCACACCCAGTCTTCTCAAATTTATGCCAGTACATTTTTAATCCAAGGACCTTTCATCACAGATTTCTAAAAAAAATAAAACCCTCATCAGGCAGACTTGTATGTCAACTTTTTTTAAAATAAATATCTTGCTGATATTTAAGTTGTAGCAATAAAATATCTATATAACTAAACACACAGTATCTTTTGTAGGTAACCTGAGCGCTGGTTTTTATGGTAACCACATTAGTCAAATTATTGGTAACGTCACTGGCATTTTGCAACAATCTTTACTAAGTGTCATGATGTATACTACAATTAAACTTTTGTGTGTGTATATATGCGTGTGTGTGTATATATATATATATATATATATATATATATATATATATATATATATATATATATTAAACTAAAGAAATATAAAAAGTTTTAAAAGCATTTACCACCTCTGTCTTACAAAATCTTTGATATTCTTAATTGCATTATTTGCTGCAGTTTTTCATTTTGCTAATACCAGGAATTGAGAATACATTTGCAGTTATCCACAAATTATGAAATGACACTCTATTTTCATAATTAATTTAACAAAGAGACATCTTTTAATTCAAACATTTTCACCACAAGAAATTAATTCTTCTTGAATGTATTCTGATGTTTTCCTGACTGTAACTTGGTTTGTTGCTGTTTTTTTTTTTGTAATGTTAACTTTTTCTAATAATCCACATGCAACAAGTTATAGTGTGGAAGCATTTTTACACACTGAGTATCAAAACTAGCATTCCAATTGGAAATACTGCATAATCTGAAAAATTCTCCAGAGTAACTGCCATCAATGAAGCATAACTTTCCAACTCTCTCATTTACTTGTGCAATTTACTCAAGATGGGCAACTCAGGATTATTATTATTATTCAGGAGAATCAAGAAATAAGTAAGTTATCAGCTTTTTACCTGGACTCACTATTTTAATGTTAATTTGTAGATGTCTATTAGTTTTCATTATAAATCTCTCTCAAGATCTACCTATTTCGTACCAACTTAATTTTTTACTCTAAAATAAGAATGCAAAATCAATATAATTCTAAGATTTTTTACTATTGCAGTTTTTCCCAGTAATAATACTGATCTATGTTGAGACAGAAGTTGACAGTGTCTGTTTACTTTTCTCTAGTCTTTCATTGTTAGGCTTTCAAATTTACTTCTCAGCTTATCACTTTTTATCCTGTATACTGTTGAAGGGGAATTTTATAATTTTTTTTTATCACTTTCTAAACTACTTTCTTTTACAAAAATGCAATTTTTATTTTAGTTTGCCATCAAAATGCTTTCTCTCTTTTTAGATGAATTTATGACAAAACAGAATTTGTTGTCAAAATACAAATACCAACTTTTTCATACACTGATTTAATTTGCTGGATAATATACAGGAAGTAATATCAAGCAACCTTTAGGAAAGCAGAAAAAAAAATTGACCCGGTGGCTTAATCAGGTTTCAGATTGTTTAACATAGTTTTTGAGGTAAAGAGAATAAACTCGGATAAATAAATAATTGTATAAATAAAAACTTTTGACAATGCCTACAAAAGGTTTGGCTTGAAGCTTTATAAGGAGTTAACCCTGTGAAATGAATTTAAGCTTAGTTTAAATACAATGTAGCCATAGGAAGAAATTAAATCCATAATCGGCACCATTTAACCTCTTTTTTTTAAGTAAAAATATTGACCTTGTTGCTAAATAAACAACAAAACACTATTCTATGTCATTTCTAGTTCAAAATGCTTAAAACTTTCCATACTTATGCACGTTCAAACAAGCCCAGGTTTGCTCATCTCTCAGATTCCAATCGGCTCATAAAACTTTACAATATTATTAATTTCTTAATTGTATAAAATCAAAATTGAAGTTCTTTGTCTTTTATATATATAAAAAAAAAAAAAAAAAGTTCATCCTCAAATATTTGTGGTTAATTAATATTTCTTATCCTGAAAGTAGTATGATATAGTTTGTCTTTCTTTTACTATGGGGACAAAAGTCTAAACCCATACTGAAATCAATGCATTTTTTTTTTTTTTTTTTTTTTTTTTTTTTTAATCAAAAATATTATACTAAATTATAATTTCTGTTTTGCCAACCTGTCTCAACAAACGTATCAACCACATATCTCTGGTATCACCAAGATTGAACTTGTCACCTATGAATGTATCTACATCTCTCAGCAAATTATTTTCTGTGGTTCTTCCAGCTTATATCAGGTTTTTTTTTGTTTTTTTTTTTACTGATAAACATTTTGAATTTCTTTCATCTCAGTCATTACTTTGAGTCAAAAGTCAAGGTATTTAATATCTCTCTCTCTCTCTCTGTCTTTTATTCAATTAGCTTCTTTTTTTTCTTTATATAAGCCTGCTTTATATTGACCACTGCAAGATTATATATATATATATATATATATATATATATATAAACTACATAGATTTTTTTTTTTTTTTTTAAACTAAAAACTAATATTTCAAATTACCAAATATTAAGCTGTTACAAGATCAGTCTGAGAAATAACGACATACCACTTACATTAAACTGGATTGTCCAGTCTCACTGATCAATGATGCTCACCAAAACCAATATTTGTTGCTTTGCTGCCGCCTTAACCATTCCATTTTCAAGCCAATATTTACCACTGCCATAAGCCTTGGAAATATCACGTATGTGTATTCGGAAGGAGTTGTTGACAATATTCACAATAAGTTCCTCATATTTCGAATTTTCACTTCGACACTCGAGGAACACTCAGTAAAGTGAAAGCGCTTATTCAGTCGAGGAGAAATAGAAGAAAAAATTGTTTAAGCATAACTTTGATTTTGACAAGGTTTTGCCTCTATCCTCATTGACTTGTGGGTATGTGCTGTGGTTCTTGAGGTAAGTATATTAGTTCCTTATGATAGCAAAGCTAGCATCACACAAAATCATTTTGCTGGCATCTTTGTACTTGTAAAGTCTCTGATAATATCAGAAATTAATACACACATTTTGCATGAAACGGTTGAAAGTTTTAATATTCTCTTAAAAAGGGAAACATTGAAATATTTGTGTGTGTACAGAGAACGTGGATTTGATAGTTGAAAATGTTTACCTTATCTGGTTCATCCCCCTCCACCAAATGTAAAGTGACTAATAAATGGCAAAGTAAAAAATTACTCGCCTCTAAAAAGTGACTTTGTTTAAAATCAATTTAGTTTGATTTCTTTAAGAAAATATCTCTCTTAATCGTCCAAGTTGTTTTGTCACTTTCACTTATTTGGACGCAATCATTAAGTTTACGCTTAAGAATTAGTCCGCGTGTATTTTTATGATGTAAAAAAAAAAAAAAAAAAATTCTGGCCGTATCTCTGATCTTAGGAAAAAATACGGCCATACCTTACGTAATTTTAATTCCTTTTTTTTTTTATTGATGCATTGTATTTTTATTAGGATGAAAATTATTAAACCTGATCCATATGAGCTGTAAACTGCAAGTCTCACGTTTTAAGTATTGAGATATTTCGATATACATCATTGAATAATTTTAGCAGCCTTCGCATTTCAAAAGCCTTTAATCGCAATAAAAAAAATGCAGTGTTGTATATTTCTTTAGAAAATGGACTTTTAAAATAATAGAAACGATCTGTAATTGACCACTTGTTCTTGACTATTGGTTATTCATTCAACTGTAATATGTGGAAAAGAGGGTATCCAGTAAACATGCGAAACCATCCAACTGACAAATTTTCTCAGTCAAAATTGATTTCTCGCTGCCGCCAAAAATCCCAGTTCATGCTGTGCTAGTCCGGCGTCTCTTTTGTGCATTTAAATCGTACGACAATCGAAGCACGAATGTTTGTCCTTCTGTCGTCTTGTTTAGAGTTGATCTTTTTTCTTTTCTTTTTTTTTTCTTCTTTTGGTGCAGTCGCTGCTGTCTTTCTGGCTGCATCTACATCACACATCAAAATGGATTCGACGATCTCTATAAATACTTTGGACATCAACTCCTACGAGAGTGAGCCTCGATTTTCATAATCATCCGATTCTTGTGCATACAGCCAGATTTCTTCAGAACTGAGCCGTTTTTCTCAAATTCTTCCTTTCCCTCTTGATTGCCTCCCACCCCCAACCATTTCTAGGGTGTTTCATTTCCTTTATAAGTAATCTTTTATTTTATTATCTGCTTGGTAGTTTAGGAGTAAAATATGAAACTGGGGACAACAAGGTCGAAAATTTAAATTCCGTTTTACTTCTAAGATAATAAAAACAAAACAAATGGTCTTGTTTATATTCCTTTATTTAATGAAACTTTACTACAATACTTGAGTTATACGCCCTTGAAAGAACGTTATTAAGCGCACATAGATGCACACCCAATTGCTTTGAAATACGAGTGGTCGTTTGCTATCAGGCAGAAAATGCCGAAAGCTACTTGGAGTAGAGCTAGAAAAATAAGTAATGGATGCGGTCTCAGATCGCAGATTTAGCTATTAACGAAATTAATAGTTTTGTTGTTTGGTCTCGGTAGAAATCCTCATCTCGACTCCGTGAACCACGAATCATTAACTTATTTGTGCAGTGCTAGCGGATTAAGTGAAGGTATAAAGTGGACACTCGACTTAAAGCAAATCTCCCAACAAAGACTCAAAAGTAGGTTTTAAATTACCCCAAAACCTTTTTTTCGTATCATATTACGCTGTGTTCATGATAGATTTTTTTCACTTATTATTAGCGTATAGTGTTTATATATTCATATAAACTGGACAAAAAAAAAAATGAAATTAAACATACTCCTATATTAATTCTTAGTTTGTGGGCCAGTATTCACTAAATTTTACGAAAAACAAGATGGCTGCGGCTAAAACTGATTTAATAGAAATATGACATTAATAAAATCTTCCCACTACGTTGTCGGACGTAATCAAGAAGAGTAATTATTGACTTCAGCTATCAGCAGTGTAACAACAACAACAAAAAAAAGGGCCATCATCCATAAACAATTCAATGAAACAGACAGACGAAACCTTTGCAACTACCATATTTTGGGGCATATACGATGCACTCCCATTTTAGCTGGCAATAATAATGAAGAAAAGAAAACCGTATTTACAAAATTTTAAGTGCGCTTTATATGCTCTAAGATATGGTAATGAGATTACAGTTATTTACTTATGGGTAAATAATTTGATTTAAAGAAGAAAGATGGTTGAATCTGAAATTTTATTTCTTTTATGTTACACGATAAACCTCCCCCACCCCTAATAAAATTGAATTTATTGGAGAAGAAAAAAATATTAAAGATTAAACAAAGCAAAAAAAAATACAAGCAAAATGTAAATTTCAGACTCAGAGCTTGTCGTTGGCTACTAAACTTTTTGTAGTTTTGGTCGGCCTTTTCATTCCTTATGACTTTCTGTGTGTACTTTCCTGTTAACATTTCCATGAAATTTCTCCACTTCTTTCTTTGATGACACAAAAAGAACCAAAAAGTTCAAGTGAATAAAAATGTTAAAACGAAAAAGAAATCTGACTTCTTTCATTCTCGTTTCCATATTTCTTTCTTGTTTTTGCTGAATTGTATCTCTTGTTTCTGCAATGTCAGTCTTGGGTAATTAAACCAACAGCTTGTCAATTTGATAAATCGTCGATGATTTTCATTTGATTCCAAGACAACAAAAAGTTTAAAATAGCTGAGGCTTGGCCAATTACTATAGACACAATAGTATTTTTTGTTTTGTTTTGTTTGTTTTTTCTGTTATATAATGAGTTTATGATCTGACTATTAATCTTTGCTTGTTGATTGGCAACAGCCGAAGTGTAGGTAAACGGCAGTTGCGTCTACTTTGGTAAAACTGAATATTCATCGCAAAATATGAAAATTTATTGACTATTTCTAATACGTCAAGCGTATTCAATGTTTAGTGGAGATGTATAATAGACACTGAGTACAGAAATAATTTATTTTCAATATTAGTATAAACTAAGCTCTACAGATCATTCATATCAATCTTTTTATTTTACTTATTTATTTTTTTGTAATAGTTAATAAGTGTGAGGGTGCCCAGTTTTCTATGTAAATTGATACACTCGAGGTAAGCCAAAACTCGTACCACGGGATTTCTGAAAATGTTTTTGAAATTTGTCATCAGTAGTGTTTTAATGATAGCAATATATGGGAAAAACAAATGAACTCTGTGAATTTCAAATTTATTTCTTTTACATTTTAAGAAGTCACGTGGTATGAACATATAGGTCTTGTCTTGCTTAATGGAGTCAACTTACATAGTAAACTGGACCCCGATCATTAATAAAAAAAAAAAAAAAAAACCTACCTGATCTGGAGTTCTTAATCAGATCAGGTAGAACTTTCCATTCAAAAACTTGCATATTTAATTAGCTACTCTACCTGATCTGGAGTTCTTAATCTGTAGTAATATGAACAAATACTCAAAAAGAAATTATTTCAGATCTCAATGTGTCTATCGTAAACGTCTACTTTATTATTCATAGATGCTGCATGGAAGTAACCAATGAAAATAATCACAAACATTCCATTACAAAAGTCGCCGATTCTCATGATGCTTCTCCACTCCTCGGACAAGTTACATTCCTTAGTGCCATCAGCTAGGATCCCCACCCCCACCTATGCTGCGTGTTCCTATTCTCTTCGAGTTCCTTTCATAAAAAAAAAAAGAAGCAAGTTTCTGTTATTTTGTGGAACAAACTCCCGAGAGAATGCTTCCTTGACGACTAGTCAACCGATATATATATATCCTACCCGTCTTCATAATACTCTCTAACTTCCCCTCTCTTAAAATCAAAATTTGTTCACCCAAGAAAGGTCGAGGGTTACTATCAGTTTAAAAAAAAAAAAAAAATTGTCTATCTATATTCATTGATGGATATCGCATACTATTCAAGAGCGTTTCGTTTTTGTCTCAAGTTAATTACTTATTTCTTTGGGGATCAGTGTATGTATGCAGGCACAGGCACACATAGTTTGTTTTAAGAAACTCGTACTTACAGTTTGTAATATCTTTTGTTTACGGCCATAGCACGTTGAAACACCGGTTCTCATCCGATCACCGAAATTTTTGCGGATGTTAACGTCTTGTTTTTATTTTATTTTTTTTGTCGTCCAAATCTACGAATTTGCATGTTAAGTCTAGAAAACACTATATAATATTCACTATTTTTATCCATCATCTTGAGTGTGTTAAAATTATTCAACTTTTTAACACGAAAAATCACAAGTCGATGTTAAAAATTGCGGCAAACCATTGTTGATTTATTGTACCGGCTCTGGTTAGTACCTAGAATGATGCTGACAGAGTAAGCCCCGACCAACACTCAGTAGGGTAATGGGCCATTCCTCCCATGAATTACAAACGTCCTACAGAAGAACATTCACAGGTTGATTAAGAATATCACTTCTCTTTGTCAGAGTTTACCTGAATTGTTAACACCTCTAAATCCAAGATAAACAAAGATAGATTTCCGCCAGGCAATATTTTAGAGTAGCTAATTAAATATGCAAGTTTTTGAATGGAAAGTTCTAACGCATTCTATATTTTGCACACAGGTGGCAAGAGATTAAAAATATTTTTCATCTTTTCCACTTGTGCATAATCCTGTCCTTAAATGATCACACTGCATGGAAGTTATAACAGATTTTGAAACTTTATTTTTTTTTTTTATCTATAGTTTCATAAATAAATGAAATCGAAGACGAACACTTCAAAGCTCTGGATATTCTCATTTCTACCAACCTCTTATTTAGCTTTATTCTCTGCGTTATCATAAATTGTAGCGAACCACATTCATTCCCTTTGTATTCTATTGGTGAAATGTAAGTTCCAGTGGATCAGCTTCTTCCTACGACCCCCTGCTTTGTGAAACCGACTCCCAATGGGATGCTTTTCGGATCACTACAATCTTAACCTGTTCAAGTCTAGGATTAACAATTATCTTCATATATTCCCATAAACTGTATCTCTTACTATTTAACCCTCTACCTCGCGTGGTTCTTGAGCCTTGTAAAGAGTTAACCTCATTGTAAAGAACTATGCAGTTTAAATAAATGTCATCTTCATTTCAATATATGTAAGTATTGTGTGACGACTTCAGTAAACGCGTTATTGATGCACTGACGAAACAAGAGTAAAACATTTCTGCTTTCACTGGATATTACTCTGTGGTAATAATTTCTTTCAATAGAAAGAATATGGAGATAAATATATATATCAGAGAAACAATTGTTTTTTCGAATATTGGCAAAATATCAGTCATATCACGATCGTTATAGAAAAAAAAATTCCATAAAATAAAAAAATACTTGACTCTGGTGTTCACAATTTTTTATAATTTATTATATTCAATTTTTCATGTACGTAAATTTTAAGAGACAACGAACACTGGAAGATTTATTTTTCCATTTATGTGCATTATTTTATCTAGACCTCTGGAAATTATCGTTTAAACAAATCATCATAGTTTTAAATTGTTACAAGGACCTTTTTTTTCTTTTATTAGCACCTTGTTCCTTCAAGACGTAGGCGATTATAATAATGCTCAAACGTCTTTATTCTCAGTGAATTGCTATGAATTCTTGGCAAAGTTGGTGTTTTCCCGTTGCCTTCACGGTTTCGAATTTAGAATGGTCGTAGACGGTTTTAAATCCAAGGCTAGAAAGCCTAGTTTTCCCTACTAACCGGTAATGGAGTGGAGAATAGGTCAAAATTTGAATTCTGTTCGCTAATTTCACGTTCAGCACCGATAACCGGTATACGAACCACAGGGGCCTTACGCTCGAAAAACAAAACGATCTTTCTTTTTTGTTGGAAGTTTTCAAGTTGAGCATAAAGAACATCATTCAAAAAATATCTTTGAATAACTGACACGTGATAGTGGTGTCCATGCCCATAAAAATATTCTGATACATGGCCTCTGGGTAATTATCATTTGATTTTTCTGTACAATTGGGACCCCAAGCCATTTTTTTTTCACTATATGCGTATCTCGATTGTTTTGCAATA